TCCTTAATGCTGCCCCCTCCTGGTGTTTCTCCCTCCCTGACCCCAGCTCTACTGTAGCTCTTTTGATGGCGAACTTCAGAAGGCATCTTACGGTTTCAATGTTGTTTTGCAGTCTCCAAAACATAGGTAATAACTAATCTCTGCATAGAATAAGCATTCAATTGATACTTAAATAGTTCAAAGTATTTTCAGGATGACTAAAAATACTTGTGTAAATGTATTATAACTAAAAGCACTGATGCACAATCGTGATTGGGAAGCGCATGACCCCACCATAGACAAAATGCAGAACTTTATAATAAACACTCTTATGAGAATTTGCCACAAAGAGGGAACCCTTAAAACTTCTACAAGTATCTCTGTAGAATACAAGTCTGCAAGGCCTGCAGCCAAGATTGGTTGACTGGGTGTTTTTATGACATGGCTAGGCACATACGCAGAAGTGGTGGGCTGGATCATATGGTAGGAGTGGTATGGACAGTCATATGCTATTAGTGTTGTGGCTGGGTCATATGGTAGCTCTGCTTTCAAGTTTTTTGGCGAATCTTCACACTTATTTCTAAAACTCTGTCAGCTACACTCCTGTTGGCAGTGATTAGTGCTCCTCTCTTTACATTTCGTCCGTATGTTGGGTCTTCTGTTTTCCTGCACAGAGGTGTCTGCATGTCCATGTCTACATGCTATATATAAGCTAAATCAGTGTTCCTACTCTGTCCTTTCCATGGACATAACATTTTCTGCCCACAATTCAATGATTGTTGATTGGCCTGGAAGGTAAATTGTCTTGGAAAAGCATCTTCAGCCATGGTGTGGGTGAGTAGCTTTGAATAAATTCCTATCTAATACAGAGAGCCTGTCTGTCATGATTCTCCTTAAAATATATGTAATCGGAAACTGCATGTAAATTTGTTTCATTAATTTCGAAATTTGATTGTTAATGCGGATATTCAGGTATTATTCACTCAACATGAAAGGCTGTGCGTGCCCAGAACCTGCTTCTCTATTCTACGATGTCACATTTCCTCAGTAAAAATCAGTGTGGCACCTTCAACTTAGTTTGCAAATTCAACAGGTTTTTAAGTGAGAGGTCAAATATCCTCTGACATTTTCTTAAAATGTTCGCTAGTATGATGTCATGTGTCATTGTGAAGAAGCTGTTCTGTCACTGCAAGGAGGACCTGGACAAGGATCACCTCAGGCAAGATGAGATGTGGGGAAATAATAAACTCAGAAAGACGGATGGAGGTGCACTTAAGGACAACCAGGTATGCTGTTTGTAATACAGGCAGACAGGTTGCCATGCCTAACTGCTAAAACTCCCCAGATTGTGTTCAGCTGGGGATTACAGGGTGAGAACCTGATCACACTAAGTGCTTCCATCCCCAAGAGAATTCTTGCTGAGGACTAGAGCAGAGTACAGTGAAATGGACACTTAACAGTTCCCTTGGGACCCACCATGCCAGCAAAACCATGGGGAAGACCAAGTGAGAGTCCATGCAGTGATTCTCAACCGTTTGGAAGAAGTCTCCCTCCCGTTGAGGAGTAAGTGATGCGCTCAGCCCTGCCCTGCCCCTCTACCTTGCTTTGGTTGCCACAGATGTCAGTGGACATGCTCTTGGTCATTGAATGTCCTTTAGCTTTTTACCTAGAGACAATAAAGGGGTTACTGTTCATTTGAAACAATATTGGGGGTGAGGACCAAGGTATTAAGGATCAAATTCAAAGTCTCCCACATACCAGGAAAGCTCTCTACAGTTGAGCAACACCTGTCCCAGCGAATGTTCAGTGAAATTTCAATTAACTAAAGTTATCCCTAGTTCTCCCAGAACTGTGTCCCAACACAATGCAAACTGATAGAGCAGGAGAAGCTTTTAACAACATCACAATTCACATCCTGGTTCGGTCACTGTGTGTCTTGTATCCTCATAGACTGGCACTTGGTTTTCTAGTTTGCAAACAAGTGTTGGGAACTTGCCTGTATCCGTGTCTATTAGTATCTGCTGTAACCAAAGTTAATAGGATTGAATAGCAAGCATTTGTTATTGTTTACCTTGGAGGATACTATTTTGGTTATGCTCCCCCTCCTCTAGAGGGCTTCTCACCTAATATGGCCTTAGACATTTCTGCTCTATACCACATGGTCTCTCGGGCACCTCTAGGAGGCTACAGGATGTTCTGTGAAAGCCTGAGAAACCACTTGTCTTTTTACTTCCCAAGCTTGGTTAGGAGTAAGCCTTAATTCCTTCTTTGGCTACTGCTGGCATTTTTTAAACTTCAAAATGACATTGTTTTCAATGAACAAAGAAAATGTGGCCCAAGCCAACAATGTGATATTATTTTGCATACAAAGAATTGAATGCCAACTTTTGCATCAAGGTTGATATTACTATTGCTGTAAAGAGACACACCATGACAACGCCAACTCTTATAAAAAGAAGATTTAATTGGGGGGCTTCATAACAGTTTTAGAGAATTAGTCCACGGATGGAAGCAGACAGGCATGGTGCGGGAGCAGAGGCTGAGAGCTTCACATCATTTTCCTCAGGTAGAGAGACAGACACCGAGTCTGGGTCTAACTTGGGGTTGTGAAACTCCAAATTCCACTGCCAGTGACATACCTCCTCCACCACGGCCATGCCTCCTAATTGTTTCCAAACGGCCCCACTGTGGACTAAGCATTCAAACATAGGAGCCTATGAGCGCTATTCTCACTCAACTCACCACAGACGGTCAACCAAAAAAGAAGGAAAATTTTCCATAGGTGTTGGTGCACATGAGCACTCAGGAAGCTAAGGCAGAAGGATCATGAGTTTGTAGCCAGTCTTACAGACACTGAAAGCTCCAGAGCAACCTGCCTAGTGCAGGAAATCACTGTCCAACAATGACAAATACACAGCTTTTAAAGGTAAACATGCTCGTTGAAATAATGCTGATGAGCCCCCAAGGTACATTCTTTAATATGTAGGCCTGCTTGTGATTTTGCAAGCCTTGGGAAAACTGTACAGAAGGGGCTTCTATTGCAGGATGATCACTGTCTTAAAGAAGGAGGGGAATCCTTTGAAAGGCAGGTACAATCTCTGGCACCTTGCTTCTCCCAGATCCAGAGACTATGCTTAGCCTAAAGTTAAGCCATGAGAAGTCAACCTTCAAACTTGGCCAGTGAGCTGGCATTATCTTCTGAAGCTACCTTTCTTCCAGGAAAAGGACCCAGAGAAGAGCAGCCTCAAAGGCAAGGGTGCCTTTCATGACTTTCTCCAGTATTGGCCATCAAGGTCCTCCTGGCGCTGCTGTGAAGTTGGCTAGAGCCAATCCTCAGACTGCTTGGAGATGAGTTGCGGGCTTGTGCTCAGCCTCTCTCAGAATTTGCAACCCAGGTTCCTTTTAGTAATCTATGGATAGCCAGCCCTAGGTAAGACCTTACTACCGAGAAAGCTAAGTTGCTGCCGACATCCCCCGAGGCTCTTCCATGAAGGAGCTCTGCTACACACCTTTGTCCCTTCCGCACACTCCGTAAAGTTCCTGGGCTCTCAACACCTAAATCAACTGTGTGATAAAACTGCATTTGGAGCACACACAACCCACCTGCTGTCTTCTGAACTCACGGCGCTGTGTCCGAAGGAAATGTCAAGGTGTACCAACACTCTGTCCTCTACCTCTTCACCCCGTCTCTTTGCTCGACTGATCCGCACTTGTTTCTCATCCCTGTCTCTCTTCTCCCGTGACGACTCACTCTTGTCTCTTCTCCCCATCTCTGTGTTCCCCTGACTCACTCTCTTCTCTCCTCCGCATCTCTCTGCTCCTCCTATGTCGCGTCTGCTGCGCGGCCTGTGTCTGAGAACGTGGGGAGGGTGTCGGGGATTGACAACACAGAGACTCGTTCAACGATGTAAAGAAAACTTTAAGCAGGCTCCAAAAAGGTTCAAGAAAACTTCCCAAGAAAGGCTCCCACCAGAGAAGCTTCTGCTCTCTCCTCTACCCTGGCTGGTTCTGCTCTCACCCCAGAAACTGATCTGGGCATGGCAGAAGAGGCGGTTAGTCTCTGGACAAGGTCGAGCTCAGGGTGGTTTCTGCGGGCAGGCCTTTTCCAGGAACTTAATGCCCCCAGGCATTGTATTGTTTTTAGTAAACATTGTCTTACAGCTGCCTACTCCCAGGCAGAAGGGGAAGTGGGTCTCTGCTCAAGGTCTGGTGTTCCCACAATTCACCCCTTTTTATTTTTAAATGAGGCACTCCTGGCTTAGGTCAAGTAGGGTCACCCTCCCTTTCCCGTCCTTGGGGGACCTTGAACCCCTGTCTTAGGTGGGAGGGGTCTTCCCCACAGGTGGCCCGTCATCAGAGCACCCCAACTTTAAATCATCTGTAACCAACCTTCATGGCTATCGGGATTGCCATGGGCTAGGCTAAGCAATACTTGGTTACGGATCTCTTGCCTCTGGAACAAGGCACGTTTGAGCCCGGCATAAAGCCAGAATGCCTACCGCCACTGCCACCATTTCCAGGACCCCCATTGACATAGCGCCTCTCCATCACCGTACCCATCACCAGATCTGGGCCATAACATTCTACCAGCCTTCATCTGTTACAAGGGTAACCCACACATGATTTACATTCTGTTACAAGGGTAACCCGCATGTGACTTAGATTTACAATTTGATAAAGTTACAATTGTTCCAAGATCTGCTCAGGAAAGCATTTAGAAAGTGCACTTGCACAGATATATTAGGTACAATCATTGATATTACACATGTAGCATTATGAAAAATATGAACAATAGGCTTGTTGCACTATCCACAGAGCACCAATTTGTTCCTGTGGTGATGCAGTTTGTTGATTTAACGTCAGCTGATTATGCGACTTGAGTCAAAGTCTCCTTTTTGTCGCATTAGGACAAGTTGCATCTCTCTAGAAAAATACACTGGCCTAGGCACGATTCCAGAAACAGGAACCACCAAGTCTGATATTTCAAGTGACCATGTCCTGTTCAATTACTGAAAAGAGGCTTTTATTATTTCTGTTGCAGATGGAACACCTATCCGTTTAAATTTAATTCCCGCTTTCTGCTCCACTTGTGCTAACTGGTATTCTTCCTTGTGTTGATAAAAGCAGATGCAAACCCCTGTCCTTCCAGCTCTGCCTGTTCGCCCCGAACGGTGAATATAGGACTCCACATCCTTTGGTGGACAGCTTTGAACAACCAAGTCAACTTCAGGGATGTCTAACCCACGTGCAGCAACATTGGTTGCGACCAAAACCCCGAAACTGCCATTTCGGAAACCTTTCAGGGTGATTTCTCTTTGCTTCTGTGGAATGTCGCCATGTAAAGACTGGGCATCCTGCTTTATGCATGAGTTCTGTGATAGTTCCTGGGCTTCTCTCTTGGTTTCACAGAAGATGATGGTGTGCCCTTGATGACCACTGTACACTCTGATCACATCCCCAATAACTGCAGCCCTCTCACTCCAGTGACACTTAATCGCCAAGTGCTCCACAGTTATGGCTGCTTTCTGAGTCTTTTTACCAATCAGGTCCACCTGTTCGTATGTAGATTTCATGTATTTCTTAGCAACATTAAACACCCAATGAGGGCAAGTTGCAGAGAAAAGCAATGTTTGGGGGTTGTCTTCAGAATCTTTCTTGTATGCCACACATAAAATTTCTTCTACTTGATCAGCAAAACCCATATCCAACATCTGGTCAACTTCATCCAAGACAACATGTTTAAGTTTAGTGAGATCTAGCTTGCCATTCTGTAGGTGGTCTTTAATACGACCCGGGGTCCCAACCAGGATATCCATCCCACTCCGCATACGTTCGATCTGACCACCGTAGGGAGTTCCACCATAAAAACAAGCCACTGACAGCTTTTTTGTGATGTCACTGAAGTCTTTGCTCACTTGATTTGCTAATTCTCTTGTAGGTGCGAGAACTAGCACCTGAGGGGCACGGCCTCTCTTCCTGCCTTGTAGCCCATCTTGAAGCTTCTCAATCAAAGGGATGGCAAAGGAGAATGTCTTCCCTGTTCCCGTCCGCGCCTGGGCAATTAAGTCTTTCCCACTGTATACATGGTGGAATGTCTTGGCTTGTATAGGAAATAGGAAGTTTACTCCACGAGCTCTGAGAAGCTTGACAGTCTCTTCAGATATGGGAAAATTAGAGAAAGCTTCTTCTTTCTGTTCCACAGTTGTTTCCTTCTCCGCCTCACTACTTTCACTGCTTCCTTCACCAGTAGCTTCTTTGGAGGTGGAATTCAACTCAGAATGAGAGAATCCATTCTTGAGCTTAGGGCTTTTTTCACCAATGTCTCCATTGGCTTCCTTCCCCTTCTTCGTCTTCTTGGGCTTAGGATCATCTTCCTTTGACCTCTAGCGTGGCCCTCAGCTGAGTGACAGGTGGCACCAGGGGAGCATAAGGAGCCAGGCAAGCATTTGTCCTATGAGAACATGGTTCCTCTCAGTTTTAAATAGTTGCCTGGCAAGCATTTGTCCTATGAGAACATGGTTCCTCTCAGTTTTAAACAGTTGCCTTACAGTACTCTGAAAGCTGGCAGGGCCTTCAGGGAAGACGGCATGGAGGACAAGGAGTGTTCATTTTCCTGCTGGCTGCCTCTTCCTCACAAATGTCAGCATGGGAAACGGGGCTCTTACAAATTAGTCCCCATTTGCCTTGGCATTTCTAAAGATAATGTACACCAGAAAGGAATGCAATAGAAAGGACAGAAGGGAGGGATGGGGAGAGAGGGAAGAAGAAGAAGAAGAAGAAGAAGAGAGAGAGAGAGAAAGAGGGAGAGAGAGAGAGAGGAGTCCAGTTGATCTGCAAAATGAAGGAAGTGTCTTAAGAAGCCTGCATGGTTCTCTAAGGCCCTAGGTCCTGGGTGCTGGATCCTTGGGCCTGTTTAGTCCTATTTGTTACCAGAAGAAAGCCTTCAGAACACAGACACTAAGACAACCAGAGTCAATCACCACCATGCATCCCAAACACAGCTGTCAAACAGTGACTGTCCGGTGAGGTCAAAAGCAGAGGTACTTGTAGGATTTGGGGCCCTGCCATGCTGCTTTGTAGTCACAAGCTCTCTCCTTGTGCATATGAGCCCATCATTGGGACCCAATGGGGTAGACCTGTTCTGGGATGCCAGAAAGGAGGTAACCTAGCCAGCAGGGAGACCTGAACAGCATGGCAGACCTTCCGAGACCAGAATTCAGACTGTAGTTTTCCGAGAGCAAAGCTCTGCTCATGAGTGAGAAACTTACATTAGTTTCCCCAGCTATCTTATACACACACACACACACACACACACACGCACGCACGCACTCACAAGCATATACAGACACTCAACATGAGTTCAGTGTTCAGTGAGTTACTAAAGGAAACAGCTTCCCTTTCTCATAGTTCTGGAAAGGAGATGTCCCCAGGCAAGATGTCAGCAGGCTCACACTCTGAAGGTACCAAGATAGAGTCCTTCCTTTTCTCTCCTGGCTTTCTGATGACTACTGATATCCCTTGGCATATGGCCATGTCACTCCAAGCTCTAACTACATATTTTCATTTTCTGGTGACCTCAAATCGCCATCTTTTTACTTGCCATCAGAAGATACCTAGAGGAGCCTCCAGAGAGCGTCTCTTTCTTAGTCGTGTCTTTGTGTGGCTTGGGCATCAAGGCTATTGAAGCCTCGAAAAAGTTTGGCAAAGACCCTTCTGCTTCTATTGCATGGAGAACTTTGAGGAGAATTGGTATAAGCTGTTCTTTTAATTTCTGGTAAAATTCTGCATTGAGGCCATCTGGACCTGGGCTTTTTCTGGGGGGGGGGGTGGGATACTTTTGATGATTGCTTCTATTTCCTTAGGGGTATAGGTCTATTCAGATCGCTTATCTGTTCTTGATTTAATTTTAGCAAGTGTACATTTCCTTTAGATTTTCTAATTTTGTGGAGTACAGGTTTTCAAAATATGACCTGACGATTCTCTGGATTTCCTCAGTGTCCGTTGTTATGACCCCCTTTTCATTTCTGATTTTGTTAATTTGCATGTTCACACTCTGTCATTTGATAAGTTTGGAAAAAGTTTGTATCTCTTGTTGTTTCTCTCAAAGAACCAACTCTTCCTTACACTGATTCTTTGTATTGTTTTCCTAGTTTCTACTTTATTTATTTATTTATTTGATTATTTCCTGGCATCTGCTCTTCCCAGTGAGCTTGCTTCTTTGTGTTCTAGAGCTTCCGGATGTGATGTTAGTTCTCTAGAGTGACTATTCTCCAGTTTCTTCATGCAGGCACTTAGTGCTATGAACTTTCCCCTTAGCACTGCTTTTAAAGTGTCCCATAGGTTTGGGTATGTTGTGTCTTCATTCCCATTGAATTCTAGGAAGTCTTTAATTTCTGTTTTTTGTTTCTTCTTTGACGCAGGAATGGTGCAATTGTGCATTATTCAATTTCCACGAGTTTGTAGGATTTCTGCAATTTGTGTTGTTGTTGAATTCTAACTTTAAAGCATGGTGGTCTGATAAGGTACATGGAACTATTCCAATTTCTTTGTACCTGTTGAGGTTTGCTATGTTGCCAAATATGTGGTCAATTTTTGAGAAGTTCCAATTGGCACTGAGAAGAAGGTATATTCTTTTGTGTTTGGATGGAATGTTCTATAGATGTCTATTAAACCCAATTGTGTCATAACTTCTATTAGCTCCTTTGCTTCTTTGTTAAGTTTCTGTCTGATGGTCCTATCTAGTGGTGAGAGTAGAGTATTGATGTCTCCCAGCATAAGTGTGTGAGGTTTTCTGTATGATTTGAGTTTTAGTAATGTCTCTTTTATGAACGTGGATGCCTATGTATTGGGGGCATAGATGTTCAGAATTGATACTTCATCTTGGTGGATTTCTCCTGTGATGAGTATGAAATGACTTCTTTCATCTCTTTTGATTGATTTTATTTTAAAGCCTAATTTGTTAGATATTAGGATTGCTACCCCCGCTTGTTTCTTGGGTCCATCTGATTGGAAAATCTTTTCGCAACCCTTAATTCTGAGGTAATGTTTGTCTTTGAGGCTGAGGTGTGTTTCTTGTATGCAGCAGAAGGATGGATTCTGTCTTTGAATCCATTCTGTTAGCCTGTGTGTTTTTATAGGCGAACTAAGACCATTAATATTGAGGGATATTAGTGACCATTGATAGCTTATTTTTGTTTGTTTTGGAGTTGTTGTTGTTGTTGTTGTTGTTGTTGTTGGAATTGTGTGTGGATTATCACCCCTTTTTTCTTTCGGCTGTTGGTAAAGTGGGATTATCGATTGATCTCAGTCCCATTTTCAAAAGGCTTTTCATAAGCACATCAGCATTTCTCAGGACCTGTGGCTCCTGGGGAGACACTTTAGCCTCTCACATCACTGTGTGAGAGGTCTACAAGGTGCATCTTTTGAGTGAATACAAGCAATACCATGGTGCTCTTGTTACAACCAAGAACAGAAGAGCTTCAGGGAGGGCCTAGAGCTGACGTCCATCAAGCTTAAGACTGTAAAGAGTTCCTCGAAGACAGAAACAACCATGTCACACAGAGTAAGACCTCATGACAGTTGCATGCTGGGCAAACTCCTGAGAGCACTTCTGCTCTGTGACCTCACTTCCTTGCTAGAGGCCAAACAGATGGGGAGACAGACATGTGCACATCTGGGCCAAGCTCCCAGTATCAGGACCTTCATACTTTGCTGAGTCTCTGGCACCTGCTACCCTCCGCTACAGACTTGTTCTTCCGGCACAGACATCCTTTCTTGCAGAAAATCAACCTGCCCTTGCACAGAAAATCCAGCTTTCTCAGAAGCTGAGCTCAAGGCTCTTTTAACTTTTCCTCTCCTTTTGCTTTTTGAAACTACTTTAAATCATATAATGTTCAGCATCTTTCTAGTTTGCTTTCCATGTTTCAGGTTCTTTTTGTTACCAATTTGCGGTTCCTGAACATTCAGAGGGGGAATAGATTTCTTATGCAGACACCACAGAGCATTCTCTGCAGCTGCTCAGAATTGGCAGCATACTAGCACCCTTCTCCATTTTCAAATAAAAACACTTGCTTTAAAGATTTTATTAATATGTCTTAAAATTGCCAAGGCCTTCTGCCCTAAGAGTGGTAAGAGGTTTGGTTCAGCCGAGGAAATCCTTTCAGGTAAGTAACTTCCACATAACCAAAAATGTTATTAATGGGCTCATTATTTCATAAAACAAGAAGGAACGAACAATACACAAGTAAAACTTTTTGTTTTATTACATTTGTCATTTATTTAGTGTGTGTGTGTGTTTGTGTGTGTGTACACTAATGTTTGCATTCCACTGAACAACTTCCAGAAGTTTTTTCTCACCCTTCTACCTTGTGAGTGCCAAACTCAGGCTGCCAGGTTTTGCTGAAAGCTCCTTGACCCAAGAAACCATCTCACTGGTCCATGCAAAATTTTCAAGTGATTGTTTCAGGCTCATTGACTATAAGGTCAAAGTTTGACTATGACCACCGCCTAACAGTAACTAGGGATGGTAACCATTCTTAGTCCTCCAAGCACAACAGTTTCTCCAGAAGCCTCGGGAGAACCTCGGTTCCTTCCTTACTCCCTATATGACATGCAAACATATTCATACAAACACGCTACCAATGTGTCACGCTGTATATGAAATCTGAAGCCCTGCCAACCTAGATACTGATTCATGTGAACCCTGTCCCTCTGTGTGTATGGGGTCTGACAGCTTCGTCCAATGATTAGATTGAGTGTCACACGGTCAAGAAGCAGATTTCGGTTGTTTGAGCCAATGCATGCTTTGGGATCGGTTTATTTCAGCAATTAGTAATTCCCAATTGTCTTAGTTACAGTTTCAGTGGCTGTGACGAGACACCATGACCACAGCAACTCTTACAATGGAAAACATTTAATTGGGACTGGCTTACAGTTTCAGAGGTTTAGTCCTTTATCATTGTAGTTGGAGACAGCCAAAGGCGGGCAGACACGGTACTGGAGCTGAGAGACCTGTATCTTAAGCAGACAACAAGAAGTGTTCTCTTTCACTGGGCACTGACTGAGCATATACGAGACCTCAAAGCCCATCTACTTAGTGACACACTTCCTCCAACAAGACAACTACTTCAAAAGGACCACACCTCCTAACAGCGCCTCTGCCTTAAAGGTTGATAGTGGCAAAATGGAAACAGCATCTGACAGCAGTATTTTGGGCTATTTGGAGTGCCTTTAGGTCTTGACTAAGATGAATGTCGGAGTGGCTGGGGAAGAGTTTCCAAGAATAAGGAAGACAAGGCATACTAAAGATAACCTCTGTCTCTGTCACAGCGGGTCTGCAAAGTAGGTTGGGACCACTGAAGAAAGAAATTCCATTTATGAGATGGACAAGAAATAATGCGTCTCCGTGAAAGGTAGATGTTTCAGATTATGAAAAGGCTTATAAAAATTTTTTGCACTGAGGACCCTGGCCAGGAGCCTAAGGGCTTCAATACAAATGGCGGGAGTGGAGACAGGGTCTTGACTTGGCAGGTTGTAGAGAAGGCAGCTGTTATATTCACAGTGCTGCACTGAGGCTCAGCTCTGTGATGG